GTTCTGTGTCAGCCAAAAGTTATTTTTTATTATGAAAGAAGCTGATCTGCATATCAGATAGAGTAGTTCTTTTTTGTAATGAACATAGCTATTTATACAGATGTCTAGTTTCTAAACATACACGTGTTACATATATGAGCCATTCTATCAAAACTTTGCAACATGGGCCAACTGTTCTATTTTTCATGGTCATCAGCCCTGAGACTGATTCCTGCAACACTCTATCACCGGGAGCTTTCTACTATTTTACAAACATGCCTAATAAGTATTTTTAGAAGTTCTTTTCCCATTCGTAATGTTTAGACTGCTCTCTAGTCTAATACAAATTTTTTAAGAATGCTATTGTAAAAAAATATCAGTTCATTTCTTTAAAAAAAAATCTGTCAGAAATCTCCAATACATCTTAATAGTGTAGATACAAGTACACTTTTGACTCTAGATCTTACTTTGAACATTAGTCTGTACTGTAATTTTAAAGGTAATATGTAATCTATATACCATTGATATATTGGCTGCATAAATGAAAAAAAGTGAAGACTTTTTCATAAATATTTACTCTTTTTTGGATTTTCTGAATATTTGTATGTCTTTGCACTGAATCTTATGGGAACTTCATGTGGATCCTACTGATTTATACAGGGAATCTGAATGAATAAATACACCAAAATGTAGTGATTATTTCATTTCTTATATTACAAAAATCATCCAGCAAGTGATATGCCTGTATGTAAAATGGCTGTCCCCTAGTATTCTGTGAAAAGGATAACTAAGATCAGTTTCATTAAACAATCAGGGCTGATTAGAGTCAACTCTACCATATGTAAATCTAACAAACTTTGGCTTCCTTCTTCTCAATGAAGTTTTCAGTACATAGATTCTAGAAGTACATCATACCCAGCTCAGAAGAGATTTCTATATAAAAAAGTAATTATTGTCTATCAGTTTGGAAAAGATTACAAAACCATTTATAAAGTTACTGAGTTTTGATCTCCATTTGGAGACATAGTCCTTGAAATGGAGAAGATTTGGAATGCTGGTGAATCTTCCCCAAAGTGGCTATAGCGTAAAGTTGTCCAAGAAATCAGAAAAAGACCCAGAGTAACTTCCAGGGATTTATAGGCTTAACTTACTTTAGCTAAAATCAGTGTTCATGTTTCCATAATCAGAATGTGTGGGATAAAAATTAGATTCATGGAAAGTAGCAAGATGGAAACCATGCTAAGAAAATTGCTCCTTGTTTGAAGTTTGATAATAAGTACCTGGATTTGCGGAGGGGTCAAAAGTGGGACATTTAAAGCTACGTAGATATCATTATGACTGGTAGAAACCGGGGACTGCATTTCATAATGAGAACCTCCCAGTGGTCAAGCAGGAAGGTGATAGTAATATGGGTTGGGAATGCTTTACTGCCTTAGGATCTGGATGACTTGCCATCATTGAAGGAAGCACAAAGTCTTCTTTGTATCAGAAGAATTTTACAGAAGAATATTCGACCACCTGCCCATAAGCTGAAGTGCATCAGGATCTTGCAGCAAGAATTATCCTGAGCATACTAGCTAGTTTTCATGAAGAAATTAAGTATTTTGGAATGTCAAATCCTAGTCCAGGCCCAAACTCTATAATAAAGTTGTAGCAGGACCTGAAATGAGTACTGTAGTTCATGCTAGAAATGTTCAGATTTTACTAAGATAAAGCAGTTTGTCATGGAGGAAGGGTCCCAAATTCCTAAAGAGGCATGTGAGAAACTAATCTCTGACTACAGGAAGCATTTGACTGCAATTACTGGGCTAAAATTTAATGGTAGTGCAATTAGTTACTGAATCTAAAGAGTGATTACTTTTTCATGCTGGCATATTGCACGTTAGGTTACTTCATTTGTAAAATAAATGGAACATACACTAAACTTTGGTGTTACTTGTTCATTCAGTTTCTTTATGTAGGACCCACATGAAGACACAGTGGCAAAGATACTCAAAAACTGAGAAAATCCAAAAGGGCTGTTACATTTTCACAGAACTGCATGTTGGATTTCAATGCTTAAGATATTAATACAGTATTTGCTTAGTTGGCTCTTTGTTTGAGATTATTGTGGCTTTTGAGTGGGTATAGGGTAACGCTGTTTATAACACTGTTTGACTTGGCTTTTAGTATCTGATGAATGAAAGCCTATAGTGTAAGACTGCAGCTTTTTGTGTGCAAGAAAGGCATCTGTGTTATAACAAGAGGAGGAGACCCCAATTAGACAAATGCTGGAATTCCTGCATAAAAAAGGAATACATTATTTTCTAGCTAGAGTAAATATTTATACAAATAAACTTTTCTTTTCAGCTGCTCATCAGGATTGCTATCGCACTACCAGCTTGGCTAGAAATTCTGTTCTCATTGCCCAACAAGGCTGCACGTGGAGATTGAGAGGCAGATGAGCAATTTAGACAAAACGGGTTTGTCTTTAAAGTAAAGCTAGAGGCTTTTAGGAATAAAAAGTAAAATGTATAGCACTTGATAAAATTAAATAGGAATTGGGAGCTGTTGTAAAAGTAAGAAAAGCCTACTATGTAAGGAAGCTAGAATGCAAAAGCTAGTATTTCTGATGCTTTTCTTGGATTTATTCATGTGTATTGATTTAAAATGTGAATTATTTTAGAGTGTGAGGCCAGAATTATTAACATTATGGTGAGAGATTTAGATTGTAAATGCCTTGGTTATTTTTCTTGTTTGTTTTGTTTCTGTATTAAATCTATAGTCATTTTGCCTTTATAGAATGCTGCTTATATTGGATATCATTTTCACATTTACTGAGGAAAAGTATGTCTATCTTGTAAGCTCAGTGCACTCAGTTCCTTTTTTTTTCACAAAGAGAAAACATAAGAACTATGATGGAATAAGCCAATATCAGACATAGGATTAATATTAAAGGGAAAGTGTACTTCATTGTATTACAGACTGATTCAAGAATAATGGTTGGATACAGGTTTAAATTTGCATCCCATTGATTTTTGTGGGTTTGCTCTAAACATGAATTAAGTGTTCGTCCAACCCACTGTTTTTCCTTTGAAGGAGTGACTTACAATACTGCAACTTAACAAGTAGGTATATGATTTTTCATTTCCTCTGCACAAAAAAGAATTTAGCCTAAAAGTATGTTTATTGCATTTAATGTTTTAATAATCAGCTTCTAGGCATCAGTAGAGAAGCTAATGCTGCTTTTCATAGCTTAAAAAAAGAGGGTGGGGATAAATAATCCAACAGTGTCCCTTCAAGAGGTTTCTTTCTGCATAAACCCTACTTGTTGCTTGTATCAGACTAGGTTGCACTTGTAAAAAAGAGAGTGAGGTGAGTGGTTATTTGAAATGAATGAAGAAAACCTAATCTTATCTCAGAGGACTGTTCTCCCTCCCTCCCTCCCTCCCTCCCTCCCTCTGTATGTTAAGTATTTAAATCATGGTAAAATTGCTAGCTATTGTAATTTTAAAAACATATTTCTTACAACTACTGATTAGGTGCTGTCTGACTTGAAAAGTTACATTCCAGAATATGCAAGGAATATTTCGGTCTAATGAAGTAAAATAATAATAATAATAATTCACTTGGTTGTTGCTTCCCCCTTCCTCTGGGGGTGGGGTAGTTTTAAGTACACTAAATAAAAAAAATTCCAATTCATGTTACTTGACAATAAACATTCCTATAAATATTATAATTAATTGTAAACACCTCTATATTTATTTTAAAACATGTATTTGTAAATTCTTGACTGTAAGAAAAGCACTTAAAATATTTTTAATATTTCATTTATTTGAGTCAACCTTTTTCCTTAATAAGCATGGTTTTATTTTGATTTTGGGGGAGTTTATAGTAACTAGAAAGCCTGTTTCAATGTGTGCAGATTTAAGTCTCAAAGATATTTTTTCCTGCGGTAATTTCACTGTGAAGAAATATAAATTAAATGGTCTGTATTCAATTGTATATAATGTGGTATGGCAGTTTATGGTGACATCTTTGCAATCTCTTTAATTATGCTTAAATCTTGAGTAGGATAAAGTTTTATTCAGTATACATTTAAAACAAAATGAACCACGATGAACACTTTTATAGATATAGTCTAATCCTATATATGTCTACTCAGAAGTAACTCTTAGGTAAATCCATATAAGAATTTGTGATTATTGTAATTTAACAAATTCACAGTGAGAGTGTGTATAGATTTATATAGTTAAACTATAGATTTTAAAACATGAGAAGAGAAATTACAGGAGAAATCCTTGTATACAGGTAGTCCTCGACTTATGACCATTCGTTTAACAACCATTCAAAGTTATGACGGCACTGAAAAGAGTGACTTACGGTCAGTCCTCACACTTACAATCGTTGCAGCGTCCCCTCAGTCACATGATCAAAATTCAGGCACTTGGCAACCAGCATGGATTTACGACAGTTACAGCGTTCTGGGGTCATGTGATTGCCATTTGCAACCTTCCCAAGAGGCTTCTGACAAGCAAAGTCAGTGGGGGAAGCCAGATTCGCTTAAGGACCACAGTGATTCACTTAATGACCGTGGCAAAAGTGAAATCAGGCACGACCCACTTAACCACATTGTTTAGCGATGGAAGTTCCAGTCCCAATTGTGGTCGTAAGTCAAGGACTACCTGTATATATAATAAAACTAGCCTAGTCAATGTAATACATTTATTTCTCATCTGAATCTTTCTTCATTCAAGCTACTGAGAATTTTCTGACACTATATATGCTACTGGTTTTCACAGATTTGCTATTAAATAATTTATTTAATTGCTAGTGAGCAAGTTGAATGTGGAAGTTTCACATTCAGAAAAAAATATATGAAACTTTAGAAAAGTATTGGAGAAACCTGTGTCACTAATTTTGTAAAAAGTAAACATAATTAGTTTTTTTGTTTGTATTTTTTACACATCTTGCTGAAAGCTATATTTTCTTGTAGAACTCCTATATAAAGTTTACAGTTGTAATTTGTTTCTTTTTAATAGGTCCTGGACAGTTTGCTAGCACAATATGGAACTGTGGAAAACTGTGAGCAAGGTAGTGTAACATTAAAAATAGTTTATTTAAAGGAAATTAAAAAAGCAAGTTTTAATTTTTTTTTCCTATATATCCTTTTTTTTGTTCTAGTGAATACTGACACAGAGACTGCAGTAGTAAATGTAACATACGCCAATAAGGACCAGGCCAGGCAGTAAGTCCTTATTTATTTTTTGAGTTTTTTTTCCTGCTTTAAAATATTTTTTCTCTTATGTATTAATATTTGATACAGTCTCTTATTTGGCATTTTGTTTTATATTTACTTTTTAAAATAATCAAAATACTAAGGCTACAGTCTTCATCCAGCTGCTTGTAAGTAAGCCATGTTGAACTTAGTTGGATTACCTTTTGGGTAGGAACATATTTAGTTGTACTGCAGAGTTGCAGTTGTAAATATATATGAGGGAGTAAGATGATTTAACATACAACAGCTCTCTCATCCATCTCTGTATTCAGTTTCCTGAATTCTTCAGCCAGATTTCCTCTTGAGAAAAGTTGATCCATATAACTGGAAAATGCCCAGATTGAAGAAAGCTATAGAAGGATTTGAATCTAAGTGAACACTCATAGAATTACGTTCTAATAGTATGAAAAATCAAACTATAGGAAGATGAAAATTTATAATCGCTTAAAGGGATTGGATTTGTCTGAATTGGAAGCATTTCTTGTGGTTCATATACTACATACATACCACACACACACTCATATTCCAGCTTGACCCACATTTAGCCCTGTATCTACTGTACTTTTTTTTTTTTTTAGGTACAAGTCTTTTCAGTTTCTAGTTAACGTATTTCAGGATTGCAGAATTGAAAGTAATGAAATCTTCATTTGAACATTCAGTGATGGTTTATTAGATTTATAAGGCCACCTTATCAAAAAAGACTCAAAGTGGCATATAAAATTAAAAACATCATAAAAGCATTCAGATACCAAAATACCAACATATTAGGGAAATATGCAAACTAGAAAATCCAACCACTCATTATCAGTGGGTTTGTTATTCTAGGTCTGCAGTGGTCTATTGAAAATTTGATAAAAATTTATATTTTAAAAGTTCCTCTCACACAGATGCACACGCAGTAACAGACGAGACTAGACTGCCATTAAGTATAGCAGATTATATCGTTTTGGGTAAAATTATCACAGTTGAAAATTGGCTACCATTCTAATAGAAGCAAATTCTATAGTAGTAGGCATCAGTAAAAGTTCTGTCTACATGCCCTACCCTTTTCAAACTTGCTAAACAGTCAAGAGTATGCTCTTAAAATCACAGTGCCATATGCATGTGAGAAGTCAGATTTTCTGGTATGTAGGGCTTCAGCTGTTGCACACATAGCCACACCTAGTCAATGTTCGTTGTTGTTCAGTCTGATCTTCAAAATGCTGACCTGGATCAGACCTGGTTGATGAGAAACTACCATGAAATTCCAGGACTGCAGACTAGACTGGGAAGTTGAAAAAAACATCCTCGAAGAAGGCAATAGTAAACCAGTTCTGAAAGTTACCTGGACATGTCCATAAAATCACCAGGATTCACACTCAGGAAAAAAGAGAGTGTATGCTATCTAAAGCTTTATTTTAAAAACTGTTTAAAGACTAATTTGTGCCCTAAATGCTGGTGTTTTAACATATGTTTCAGTACATAACCTTTATAATATAAAAGTATTATTGGTGATAAACAGTTGCAGAAAGGGTATACTAACTTTTTAAAAAATGTGATACTGACCTAACACGGCATCAAAGAATACCATAAAATTACAAACATGGTTGTCTGGAGATAGCCATACAATTTCAGTACTTGGATGTGTTTTATCACCAATTTTACTAGTTGTGTTTTGGTATTCTCCGCATCTGCTTGGAAAATCTGGTGTCATACCACTACAAAGTGAAAATATCAAGATGGAATTCTGTGCCACCTAGTGGCTAACTGCAATTAATAATCTAGTTTCTTTCTTCTTCTGTGTACACTACACATTTACACTTGTTTTCCTCAACTGTTTGGTGATATTGACAATTTTCAAAAGGCCTTCATTGAACTAATGTTCCTAGAATCGTCTACTGTAAAGGTTGGATAAACAATGTAGTATCAGATAATTTCCATACAAGAAACGGTTCACTTGTTTAAAAAGTTAAAAGATTTTTTTAATAGAATGTCTCTTTCAGTACACATGTCTCTCACAAGGGTGCAATTTTGAAGTAAACTGATCTTCACATCATGTTCCATCCCTCTTCTACCTCTTGTCTGTTGTCTCTAGGAATATATGTGGGGATGGGGTGTGCACGCGCAGGTGGAATTAAAGCTCTAATAAAATGTTCAAAGATACTGTGATGTATTACCTTGCTATGATTTTAAAGTCAGAAGAACCATTTTCCTAAATTCACATCATGTGAGAAAGTTGAATTAGTTGATAGGAGGCGGGTTAGTTAATTTTCTAATATATTGTGACATTATCTTTTGAATGTTACAAATTGGTCAGTACTAACCAATTGACAATTTCAATTAATTTATACAGTATTGTAATTAGATATTTGCCTGGGTGAGTAACGCTTGCCTCCAGGCTGCCAGGTGCAGCCCCTGAACAGCTGCATGTGAGTAGAAAAAGGGGGAAAGAGCAAGTTTGCCAAGACAGATTGGCTGCTTGCCCTATAGAAGAAGCAAAATAAGGATGCTCTCCCTGCTGTATTAGCCCTCTCATCTGAAGTGAGTTTGGTAGGGCTGAAGGATTGCTGTTATAATATATTGCTGTACTGATTCTAAAATGAGTTATGGAGGGTGCAGGAATTCTTTTGTTAGGAAGACAAATGGTTTAAATCAGGAACTCAATGAGAAGCCTGTGTTTAAGTTGAGAAATGTTGGATTCGGTATTTTAAAAGTATGTTGGTTTCTCTAAAACTTGGTCATTTGGGGAAGGCAGAGAAGGAAAAACGTCCCCTTCCTTTTCATGCAGAATTTGTAGTTTAGATTAAAAGGTAAAGGTTTAAGAGTAGTTATTTTCCTTCAAAGGCCAGCCTTAAACGTTATTGATTTCAAATTTATGTTTATGCTGTTACTGAGGTAGATGGGATTAAGTGTTTATATTTGTAGGATTGTGCTATTCATTCAGTGACCTACTCTATAGAAGTGTCAGGTAGATTTACAAAAGCCCCATGAGAAATTTGTCAATTTAAATCCACAGTTGTATAGATAAGCAGGATTTTTCTGTGTCATTTGTTGGAAATCAGTGATTATTTCATTCCACTTCATTCTGATAAATTTGAATATGGAGGCACAGTGGAAAATGTAATGAGTTATCCCCACTGGTAAATTGATGGTCATTCTAGATTTGACAGATTATGATGAAAGATATGTAGGTATGTATGTATAGGATGATACCTGTATGTAAGCATGTGAAACTCCATATCAAGTCATATTTAGCCTAAATTCTAACCTGGTTTATTGAATTTAACTAGAAGTATCTCATAATGTCCTTTGAAAAAAAGCGTTATAGACTAATAACTTCTATAGTGTCCCGTTCCCCCCCCCCCCCCCCCCCGGACATTTGGCTGAGATCAAGTATGACCTTATTTACAAAGCTACCGAAGATTCATTATAACTATGTTCATTGAGTATTATCCACTGTAAGAATTCCCAGAGCAACTACTTAAGTTTCTTTAAAGTGCTTAGATGAGTTCAACTTAAAAATTCGGCAACAAATTATTTATTTATTTATTTATTAAATTTCTCACCCACCCATCTCCCCCCGATGGGGGAACTCTGGACGACTCACAACAAACATTAAAAACATAAATATATATAAATACATAAAACATCAGTTAAAAGCATTACTAAAAAAAAGGGAAGGAGAGTCCAAGAAGATAAAAAATCTGAGGCTGAAGACAGGAGGCCTCTATGGGGCTAG